GAGCGGAAGCGAGCGACCCTTATCGATTTCAGCGTTTCCCACGGGAAATCGCGTTCGTTCAGCAAGGAAGAACCGGGAAGGCGGACACCGTGGAAGGAAGGATATTCACAGCGAAGCGGCGCGGCGGCGCGGCGGGCGCAGAATTTTCCATTACACCGAGTGCGGTTACCCACCCTTATCATAGCGGTGCATATTCCAGAGACGGCGATGGCGAGGGGCGACGACAACCTCTCGCGTAGTAATGGAAAACAAACAGGGAAAATATCGTCCGTTTACAATGCCGGCGATATTCTACGCCCGGCACGCTCCTTAAACCCGGATTCGCGGATATTCGCGGGGCGTGGCAATGAGCGTGATAAAGAGTATATTTCTCGAGCTCGTTTCTGCGCGCGTATCGGGTAGTGACGTGACGCGCGTCTAAAATATATAACTTTCCGACGCCGATCTCTCTCTCTCTCTCTCTACGATTCCATATTTCAGTGATTTTCGAGTAAATTCAATTCCATCCGTCTTTGAAAATCGACACGAAGTTTTCGTATTTCAAATGGATGTTGCTCGAACCAAGTCATTTAGCTCGTAGTACATGTTACTCTGCTGTACAATGTCTCCGTTTTGCGTATATAATTAGGATTATCGGCTGCGAGAGAGCGCGCTGTTTTGGGACCGCGTCTATTTGTTTGAATTCAAACTCTCCTGTAAAACCGGCGGCGAACAAATGCGCAACCGGTCAGCCGGGTCAGCAATGTGTATCGAAGTTTTGACGGCTAGCGAATGGCAAAGCGGCCACTATAACGAAGAACAGCGGCATTGTTTCGCGACGGTAATGGCCCGCATTTAATGCGCCATTAGAAGTTGTTAACTTCTACTGTTGTTTCACCAGAGCGTCGCGTTATATATACATATATATATCTATACGATGGTGCACGACACGACGATACGCGCATTCGAAATTGTTGCGCCGATTTATCGTTTTCTGGCTTTGAGAGTCGGCAATTAAATGATCTATTCCTTTTTCGAAGTTTTTTTTTATGGTAATTGCATTTGGTCAACAGAACGACATTGTTGAAAGCAAAAATTATTTTCTCTCTGAAAATCCGATCGGCCGTCGTACGTTTCCGCAATTTTCGCAGTCCTAATTGAAAAGAAAACTAGGTAACTGTATCGAGATTCTGTTCAATCTAAAATTAATTGTAAGATAAGATTTTCTATTCTTTATTTTGCTATTTCTCTCTTGATCGATACACAGCTCAGAAACTACTACATATTTTTCATTAATATCAAGGAAATATTCAAGTTTTCCACAAGAAATATTATTGCATATTAAACATATCTATTATCGAGTGCCTTATATAAAAAATGCATGCATTTCGGTAATTCTAATAGACAAAACATTTTTCGATCTTGTTCGAGAATTACTTTCAACCGACCAGTTAGTTTTAATTATCGTCATAATAATAGAGTGCTCGATATATAAGCAATAAAATATAAAATTATCAAATATTTGATGAAACAAACTTTTTACTCGTGTTTTTTACTCCTATTTCCATTGCTATTCCTGACTATTTCTGACTATTTTAAAATAAAATAATAAAAGCATCGCTTTTGTTTCTCGCGCAATAATTGTTTTAATCAATGCTTGGTAAAATCACATCTCACTTAATTAAAAAAAACTTCTGTGACTCGTGTACAAGAATCAATGTTATTTTTTTTTGCTCGTTCAATGATAATACCGCTATTAACTATCTAAAGCAGAGTAAAGCTATTAACTCTCTAAGCAATGCAAATTGTTTAACATGAACATAACAAATATTCAGATGTAAAATCAAAGAAAAATTACAATAGCAGAATAGAAAATTGTTTCGCAAAATATGTAAATCTGGTAATATGCTGTATTACAAACATGGAGAGCAACCGTGCTCTCTTCGTTAAACGTATTTCTCTTCTCTTTGTACGTATGTATTATGTATTTCTAATAAAATTATGAATAAACCGAAAACTCACGGGAAAAGTACGATTAAAATTATATCTACGATTATTATACGCGGTAAGTAGTTTATTAAGGTATTGTTGAATTCGACATAATTGAGGTTAATTTAACGCTACGTTTTATTCGAACTGCTCAGAATGACGATACGTCCCATGATAGAGTGCAATGTAATTATAGCCTTTAATTACAATGCAATTTCTGCGAATTACATTTAGTGCGCTAGCAACGAATTGCAATTTATCGATCTGCCTCAAGTTGGTTCGCCACAGCATTTCACATTGATTCGTAGTATATAAATCTCTCCATTCCCGTGCGCATTACTCGAAAGAGTAATGTAACTCCAGCTCCGAGACATTGTCAATTTTTATCGTAAAATTTTCTAATTAAGCTAAACAATCCCTACAAAAATAACGTAAACATTTTTTAAATAGTAAAAAGATATGTGCAAAACTACATAAGAATAAATAATAATATATAAAAGCTCTTTTTTGAATAAAATAACATGTATCCGATTTCTTTATCTAATTAATCTTATATAATTAAATCAAATAACAGTACTTAACAAATTTGGAAATAAGAGCCAGGCGTGATAATTACCGCGCTATTATTGCCAAATTTATGTTACTTGAATTAATTAGATAAGTCGATTAATTAGATAAAGAAATCAGATACAGTCAATGACACCCAAAAACCAGAGTGCAGCCAGAATTTCAATCGATTAACGGAGAAATGCCGTGCGTGACGGATTAATTCAATCATAATGCCGATATATGTGCCAATAACTATACTTAGTTTACTTGATTGTACAGGTACTACATATTAAAGCTCGTTTACATATGCGATGTAGAATGTATACATACTGTACGCGTGTCGACAGTCCGTCTGTAGCTTATTACATACACGAAGAGAATGCGAAGGAAAGGACGAGAGGAGAACGATACTTCGCTTAGGACGAAACATATATTGTTATCTGTGGTATAATATCCGCCTTTGCCCGGCGTGCGCGCACCTGGCGTAATTATAAAACGAGCGCAAACCCGGGAAGTCTCATTAATATTTCGCTTTGTTCTTTTCTCTTAGTTGCACCCTGTAAAGAAAATGCAAGGACGCTTTTATTTAAAATATCGGAAAATGTCGAGTCGGGGGGAGGGGGGGAAGAGGAGTGGGAACACGGTATCTGCGCGGCACGTTTGTATTCCTTTAATTTCGCTCGACGGCATCCGCGCAGAAGGAGAATAGCGGCGTTATTATGGGACGTCGTAGGAGATCTCGCAGTGTCGCGCGTGTCTCCTGCGTATCTAAGAGGCGTTAAGCTCAGACGATTAACGCCGCCTTGTACGGCGAAAATCGCGCGAGAAGATACGCGACTCCTTTACATTCCGTCTCCTGCGGAAATTTCACGGGACATTTTTTGTATACGTGCACGCGAAAATGGGGTATCTGCCTATGCGTTGAAACGGAATGTGCGTTATATAAACGTCGCCCGTGAACGCCGTGCATTCAAAGGAAGTCGAAAATGCACGGAGAGCCGCGGCGATAAAAATACCAAGACTCTCTCTCGCACGCATCATCCCTCGTGCCTCTAGTGCCGCTGCTGCTGACAGCTCGCCGTATCAGTGTTCTTCATATGCGCGGAGAGCAGCGCTGTTCAAGCGAGATTATGTTGAAGATTGATTATGTTGCAGATTGTGTTGAAAGACGTATTAATTTACTGGAAATTACTGCTACAATTTAGATAGAAGCAGGTAATTTAACGGCGCTCCAATATGGCATTTGATTATGTTCGTATAATGTTTGATTGGTTTTGTAAAATTATTTTAAAAAATAGCGATTAAATAATTGATACACGGTCAATCAATGTAACAGTGTATTTCGTCGCTTTCGTTTTACCGCACAATGCGACGGCTTTTTTTCAGAGAAATAAATTTAAAATTTATACTTTATATGCAATGTAATAACCATTAATTATATTTTAAAAATTGAAAAACGCGGGTACTCTCTCTCTCTCTCTCTAGCCATAAATGTGACAATAATTAAAAAAATAAATTTGACAATATTTAATAATAAAATAATTTGAAATTATTTAAATTCACGATATATTCTTAGCAACAGAAATAGTCACTTTTATTATTACACAGAGATATTTTCTTTAGATTGTTATAGATCACCATTTTCAAATAATAGCGTCACCATCAAAATGTTACATTCTATACTTTTTTTAGTAACATATGTCAATCTTGCAAATTTCAATAAATGTGAAAAATTAATGGCAAATAGCGCGCGAAAATCCTCAAAGACACCAAATGCCATTTATTCAATCCCTCGCGGGATAGCCTGCACTATCGGGAATTTCCATCGTCCTGGCGACGTTACTCTAACGATCGAATTAATCCGGAAGAACCAAGCGTACGTGATCGAGGTTGCGCGAGATGCATACAAGCTGCTATACGCAATCGTCGCACCGGTTGAGTGTCACGTCGACCGTTGGCCGTTATGACATCGGTGTCGATATGCCGTCGCAACGGCGCATGTCGATTGCGGACGGGCGCGGTGCGGCGGTCTACAATTAGCAATTAAAATCAGCGGACCGGCCGATTGATTAGACCTTGGAATGGATATCCCGCGGCCCAATCGACTCATCGATTATAATTTCCAGCGCTAATTATGCCACGGCACCGCCGCGCGAGCGGCGAGATATGATCAACACTCCGCCTCCGCCCGCGCCGCGACGAATTACGTTCCGGAATATTTTCCGTCGTCGTGCCAACATCGTCGGGATTTCAATTTCAACAGTCTCGTTCGGAGTAACGAAACGAGCGCGCACGGAGATTCATTTTCGCCGCCCGCGCGTCGGAGAATTGCATCTCATCGAGATTTATTACGCGCCGGCTTCGACGCGTCGCGTCGCGTCGCGTCGCGCGTCTCTGTATCTTCTCGGAGAAAATTCGCAACGCGATTCGCGCGAGGCGCATGCATACGAATGGAGGGCGAACAGACGTATAACTGTACTCACGTCGTTCTGGGCAAAGGTCGGCGTGATTGGCCCGTCGCTGGCTTCCCATTTGTCCGCGATGCGGATCGTCTCCGCCGTTTTCTGCTGCACCGATTTCGACTCGTCGAGCAGCGTCAGCTCGTAAAACTCCTGGATATCTGCAACAGTCCGGAGAAAAAGGAAAAGACGTATTACCATCTGCCACGGAGTTCTCGACGTTCGGAGGTAAAATCTCCGCGGACCGTATGACCTGCAGCGGTCTCTCAGACGGCGGGGGATTTCATTTCGTTTCTATCTGGCTTTCCTGCGTGCAAACGCCATGATAAATTGACCGGGGACTCGATTTAGTCCGTTCGTTCACATCGGATGCATGGAGGAAACGTCAGAATGATATAATGGGGCTAACTGGAGAGACAATCGTAAGTCGTATTGTATAATAATGGAATAATAGATTCGGTGCTTAAGTGGGATTGGTATCTCCGGTGATGAACAGTATATTTGGGATGAGATGCACGTTGCCGATTCAAGAGGTCGGGGATCAAGCGAGCAGGCCCTCGCATCTTTGTTCGGTCGTACCGAAGACTTTAACGCCCCGGTCCCGAGACGTGGACGCGAAGCTGCACGATAAGGCGGTCACATAATTTTCAATAGTTACACCGCTCGCGTAACTCGAGTGGACTCTCAAGCTAGCGCGTGTCGCGGCGCCGAATATATATCACCGGCACTAGGATACGTCGGGTGCAGGTCGTCTGGGTCGAAGGAGCCCGTAACTCCTTGCCAGCATCGCTCGCTTCTCGCCACGACGTTGCGGAATGGGATAAGGCTGTCTCGTGACAACACGAGAATCGGACACAACGTAGGACATCGTCTGAATTAAGAATGAACCGCTTGAAACTTTCGAAAGATCGATTTTTTTCCGTATTGCGGTCGCATTCTTTGCGCGTAATTTAATACACACCGGCATGTCCCGAGGAAAATGTTGCAAAAAATAACGTACCTAAGTATGTGAATTAATATTTATCATGAAAAATACAGCAGATATGATACAAAGACGTGGCAATAGTAAAATAATTTATAAGAACATTGTTCATACAATCGAGTCAATTTATAATATTCAAAATAGATGACGAACTTTCTATCTTAGATATTTAATTCTGGAGAACAAAGATGCTTTTTTTATACTAATATTGCTGGTATCTTGTTAACTCTTATAATAATATTATTTTAAATATTTTCTGAGAAAAATTAACATTATGTCGTCTCTGTAAGATACGCGAATGTTTATTTGAAATTATGAATATCGCGAATTTATACAATTTAATTCCTTTTATTAATACCGATGCGACAGAAGAGTCACAGAAGATTCAATTTCTTTCTCCTAAGAGCCGGCTACATCTATGCGGTTTAATTTTAATCCCGTGAACCGTAAAATATATATATAGCTCCGAGAGAGAGTTAAAGTAATTTCCAACATATATAACCCACAATTTTCCACGCTTATTGTAGCCAACATTACTCTCAATTTCTTTACTCACAATCAGCTTGCGAGTGTCTTGCGCGTTAGTAGTCGTTAATAAATTGAAATTACGGTTAGCGCTTTGAGGCATTGCTCCCGAGAGCGTCGCGTATTAATTGCTCCCGCGTGAGCAATTCCTAAAGGTAATTTCCAAGTTACATCATTACAGCACCTGTGTTTCGCGCAATACTAAGCTTTCTATAATTATGCTCGTTAGTCGGTCAAGCAGGCTAAGTTTCTCCATCCTTTCCGCCGAGATGATACGGCTGCTCCTATCTTAAAGAAAACAAAACAACACCCTCGCCATGCCTCGCAGTTACCAAAGCATGGTTTATTAACGGTATGTACATTAATCTGCGATTAAGAAAATTTACCTCCAATATAACTTTACTACGTTCCTTCCGTCATTCTCTATTTATTTATGTTATCGATATTCCAAGTTTCCTGTAAGAAACTTCAATACAATATTATTGGAATTATTTGCTAACGTTCGAGATGTCTAGGCAGTTTGCCTGCGAAATTAGCAGACTCTTCAACCAGACATGTAATTATTAACCATAAATTTCGTGAAAGATAGCTACGTATTTCCTTTTGATTTTTTCAATTTCTGATTTCACTAAAAAGAAATAAATTCGTTTCGCCGTGTCCTCTTTCATTTCCATATTTCCAACGACGATTCTAAAACTACGCACGAGTAGACTACCTAGTCCGTTTACTCGCTGGCGTTAGTCATGAAAGGATTTTTTCCCCTTTTGCCTCGAGGCGTGTGAATGCACGGAAAATTTCTAGAAAGTTGCGGGACGAAACATTTTATCTGTCGGTCGAGTGGAAATTCGGAGATTTCACTCGTATAAATTTGCTCGAGCTTCGCCTCTTTTTCTTGACGCCTGCAATCAGCACCACGAAAATAATTTTTCGCGCGCGAGAAAGTTTTAGAATGCTGTCAGCATCGGGGGTGCGTATATTATCTTGTACCTGGAATAGAGTTGTTGGAACAATATCACACGCTTTTCTCGAGGTATCAGTAAAAAGAGAAAGATGAAAATCTCGATTTGCAAGAACGCTGCTTTTCACCTTCGCAACGCAAACATCTCGCATGCAGCAGAGTCGGATATTTACGGCGGCAGCGCCACCGAGGGCGTTATTGCATTATAAATTTTCAAAGGAGGTCCCACGCGATTCTCCACCGCGATAAAAATGTGCATCAATCCTGTTCGAGCTCTCGGTAGCGGTATAGCAGCGGCGCGGCACGGCGGCCGCGGCGGCAGCACCCTTTCACCATTCTGCACGACGACGGGTACCCTGTCTAAATATCACCCGGCGCATTTCTCACGTGGAATGCAAGAAATATATATCGAAGACTTATTTCAATCCCCTCGCCTTGCACGCGACGTTGACGTCGGTATGTGAAACGCGCGCGGAATTCTTTCCGATGATGGGCATCCTGTGTGTGTATTAGGCGGTGGCGCCTTTCCGATGAATACCGGCGCCGCCGCGCCGTGACGAAACTTATCTGACATTTCCACCCCCGCGAAAGAGAAGGATTTTAGCATTACTATGAGTGAGAATTGCTGCTAGCGTATAGGAGGATTTATGTCTTAATCTCGAAATACAAAACACAGGCGACAACGCAGAGACCTAAAATATCTCGCCGATTTTTCAACTCGCGACATTATTTTTTAAAAACATGACACGGGAGAAATTACGAGGACTGAGTATTGTGTGAGTTTAGGAAAATCCATAAGCATTGATTATGTTATGATATTACGCGACTCAATGATAACTGAGTAAAATTGTTTTTGTAATTAGAAGGCGTGAGTTAATATAATTCCATCGATCTTTTGCTGATGATGGTAGAGATATTTGGGCCGAAACGAACGAACATTATTCTATAATAAAGGAATTATTGCGCACCAATTAGCCGCGTCTGGCTCTCATTTGGCCCGGTCCGCCCGGTCTTCTATTATTCGTGGCGTGAGAAAAGTTGCTAGTTTAATACACAGTTTCCAAATATTGCTCTGATTAAATATGCTCTATCGGATGTTATAGTTATTGCATATCGTATAGCGATAATTGATTGCGAGGCAATCACACGTTCCTGTAGCGTCATCCATTTATAATTAGCCCAATGCAACCGATGCCATCGTGGTTCGTCCTCTTACTAGGCCAATGGCTGGGATTGCAATTAGAGACGTAGCCATATCGATAATCGATGCATGCCATGGGCATGGAATAATAATTAGATTACTGGTACTTAAATCCGATTCGCGATATACACAACCACCGTAGCTCAGACTCGACGTCGCAATTGGGCCATGTTGACGTTCCACTTATGTCATGCAATATACATATTATGCATATATTTGTTAACCGTACCGTATTCACGCATGTCGTTATTGTACACATAACTCTCGATATTTCTAACCCAAAAAGGCTTTTGGAACGTTGCCGCAAAATTTCGTTATAACAAAAGAAAAGAGGATAGTATAAAAAACGAAATAACAAAATTAGCACGATTAAAACACAAAGGCAATAATTCAGAATCTCTCGAGATTGTTTCCAGACAAGATCTTTTCGCCAGGCGCGACCACAAATGACCTTTTTTTTCTTCCACTCGCGATTTATTTTACGTTCTCGCGCATTTCCCTATTTTTCCTACCACGCTGCCGGCCGCAAAGTGCGTGCGATGAAAAAAGTTGCAACTGCACATCCGGGGAAAAAATATCGCTAGTCCGGCTTTTCGTTAATTTTCCACCGTTTCGCCGTTTCACTCTCCCCTCCGCCGCGCCGGACCGCAGCGTTATACTCTTGTATTTTTTATCCCCTTTCGCGAAATTACGAGCATAGTGCTTTATTACGTATTATGGTGGTGCATTAAAAAATTTGCGTTTCCTACGATAGCGTGATGCAAAATGGAAAAAAGGTGAGAGAAAAGACGAGATTAAATTTGCATGGCGCTGGTTGACGCCGGGTATTTTTTAATGTACTTTGGCAGTTGGTATACTTTTGAATACTAATGCGCCTCGTGCTTAACGAACGCATTTTGTTTGGTTTATCAGACGAACGTGACGGCACGTCAAAGCGCGCGAGCTGCATAAGCTTGGAATTCCCGTTGCGACACATCGTCAAAATGAGACAACGCTAACGTACGCGTAAATATTCACGCACATTAATTTGAGCTTTTCCGCGCGTATTCTATTTGAAATAACGAAGTAATGGCGGAACAATGAAACAACGTATAAAAAAATCAGTTAAATATTGTTCATATTTTCATTGAATACATATGCTTCCATTGTGGAGAGGCATTATTTGTCGATGAATGTTAAAATCGTGATTCTGAAAAATGTAGTTTTACCTTTGTAGAAAAAACATAACATTCCGATCAAATGTAATCCACGCGTAATTCCGCACACGCGTGAAATACTAATGAAACGAAAGCAGAAGTGATTTATTTGGCGAGATGAAAGCAGCGTGATTTATAAAGCGTACTATCCTTTACATGTGTTAAAAAGTCAGAAGTTTTAGCAGTATCATGTATAGATAATATTAATATTCTTCTCTCTTGTTTCTTATCTCTACCGTTTCGCCAATCGAAGATAGAAGAAAGCGTGGTTTATTTTCTATTTTCTACATCCACGTATG